AGTGGATGATCATGTGGAGCTGCCAGACCAAAGGGATATTTACCCACCTCCCCTACCTGTGACAGAGCCCAGGACTGTTCCTTGTCCCCTACATTCCTGTGCACTTACCTGTTTCCTTTGTCCTGACCAACCATGAGAAAAGGGTTGTGCTGGGTGGCAGGGAAATGGTCACACTGTAGTCAGTGAAGGGCTGCAGAGAGGTGCAGGTAAATGTTCCCTCCTGGCCCTGTAGCATCTGCTCTCCCTTCACCTCCTCAGCCTCACACGGAGGGGAGGAAGGCACTGCCAGACGGCACCTGGCCTGCATGCGCTGGCAGGCGTCAGGGAGCCTGCAGGTCCAGGTCAGTGTGATGCTGGTGCTGGAAATCTCCAAGGTTGCAGGGTCAACCTGAAGAACCTCTGTGAAGGAAACATTGCAAGAGGGTCACTTCCTTCCCTTCCCTCCCAGCTTTGCAATCGTCAGACATCTCTGCTTCCTGCGCTGCTGGGAGGGAGGGAAAGCAAGAGGCTGAAACTGGCCACTTCAACTCTGGTAGGGGATCAGGAGCCTGGACAGGAATGAATGTGGGTGAATATGTGGATTACTATTTCTCAAGGCAATTTTCCCCACCAAGAGGTGGGGAAAACTGAGGTGTCTGTGTGTCCCATCATCTCTGCATTCCAACAGATGCAGCTCTTAGAAAGACCCAGACCTTTCCTGCTCTGCATAGACCCCAGGAGAAAGATTCATTTTTCCTGGCAGTATAATGAGAAATGGAGATCTAGGACACCATACAGAGTAGCCCTCCTACACCATATCCCCAGGAAGGGGATGAGGGGAAAAAGGGCCCCATAGTGTTTCTCCCAGGCCTCCCAGGGAAGGTCAGGAGTAGCAGGAGCTCGAGGGACTCATAGTATGCACAAAGCTTGCACAGTTACTGCTGGACTGGCATTTGACCCTGGTGCCTTATTCCATCATCTAAGAAGCCAGGGCTATTTCATGCCTTAGGAACCTGCCCTGAGACCTCTTGCTGTGGCCCAGTTCTCAGTGAGCTGAGGAGCAGCAGAGGACTTGGGTAGAAAGAAGGACCCTGGGAACTACCGACCTGTCAGCCTCACCTCTCTGCTGCGAAGATCATGGAACAGATCCTGCCAGAAGCTATGCTGAAGCACATGGAGGACAGAGAGGTGATTCAAGACAGCCAGCATGGCTTTATAAGGGGCAGGTCCTGCCTGACCAACCTAGTGGTTTTCTACAGTGAAGTAACTACAGCAGCAGACAAGGGAAAATCTATGGATGTCATCTCTCTGGATTTCTGAAAGGCCTTTGACACACTCCCCCACAACATCCTTCTCTCTAAGTTGGACAAATATGGATTTGATAGGTGGACTGTTCAGTGGATAAGAAATTGGCTGGATGGTCACATCCAGAGGGTAGCAGTCAATGGTTCAATGTCCAGATGGAAGACAGTGACAAGCGGTGTCCCTCAAGGGTCTGCACTGGGACCGGTGCTGTTTAATGGTATTGACAGTGGGATTGATCGATACAGGCTACGAGATGATGTGCTGCAAAGCAGCCCTAAGGAAAAGGACTTGTGGGTAGTAGTGGATGAAAGACTGGACATGAGCCACCAATTTGCATCTGCAGCCCAGAAGGTCAACCACATCCTGGGCTGTATCAAAAGTGTGGCCAGCAGGTCAAGGGAGGTGACTCTGCCTCTATACTCTGCTCTGGTGAGACCTCAGCTAGAGTACTGCAGCCAGTTTTGGAGACCTCAACACAAGAAGGATGTGTACCTGTTGGAGCAGGTCCAGAGGAGGCCACAAAAATGATCAGAGAGCTGGAGCACCTCTGCTATGAGCACAGGCTGTCAGAAGACACTGAGAATTGCCTGGAGAGAGAGGAGACAGGCTGTCCTTGGCCCACATCCTCCCACACTTGTGCACACAACAGCCAGCAGCCTGGAGTCCTGGTCTTCTGTACAGAAGCTGAAGACATTTGCAGACAAGCCCTCACACACTAACACTGAAAGTTCCAGACAAACCTAAGGAAAAAAACTTCTTTACTGTGAGGGTGACAGAGCACTGGAACAGGCTGCCCAGAGAGGTGATGGAGTCTCCATCTCTGGAGATGTTCAAAACCCGCCTGGACACTTTTCTGTGCCACCTGTTGTAGGGAACCTGCTTTGGCAGGGGGTTGGACTAGATGACCTTTGAAGGTCCCTTCCAACCCAATACATTCTATGACTCTATGACTATTGTTTTCAAAACTTCACAGATCTCTCACTGTGTGCCCAAATCACTCCACTATTGCTCCGTTCTCCCTTGGAGGGAACTTCAGTGCCTCAAGCTGAGAGGAGATGATGCCAAGCCTGTGCACACCATGACACAGAGCCTGGAGGGGACCAACCTACGGGGAGCAAGCTGTGGTACTCACAGCTGCACAGTCTGAGAGGACACAGGCAGCAGAGCCCTCTGATGTCCCTGCCCCAACCATGATGCCATGCAGACCACAAACTCCACCACACACAGCTGTTCCAGGTTTCTCTCCTTGGTGCGCATCCTCTCACCAGAAGCCCTCAGGGAGACTGTTCTTGCCTGCACCTTCAGCAAGAACTTCCCACCCACTGGTGAACAACTGGTTGTACTCAGGGTAAGTTCAGGGGCTGCCTCCACGCTGCCTTCAGCAGCACCTGCCATTTCCCCAGGCAGCCAGAGAGCCTGGAACCTCCTGTGCACTGAAACCTGCTGTGCACGCACAGCCTGCCTTCCCCTGCTCAGGAAGGGCAGAGCCAGGAGAGCTCCTGATGCCTCCCTTACCGATGCACTCCACGCCTGACCGAATGCGGGTCCAGACACCTCTGATGTCCTTTCCATTCCAAACTTCTCTGTATACAGGTTTCCCATGACTGATGGACTGGACTTCCTTTGCACATTTGACATGGGTGAAGGATGGCTGGAAACCCTCAGGGCAGCTCAGCATCACTTCTTCATTCCTCTTGTAATATTCCTGGTCTGGTGCCAGACGGAGTCTTGAGTCCCACTGGGGTCTTTGGCACATTTCTGGCAGAGGTGAAAGTGGGTGTTAGTCGGGGTGGGAGGTGATGAGGTAAGGCATGGGTGGGTGGTGGGAGAAATCCCCAGAAATGCCTCCAGACACTGAAGGGAGAGGGAAGGTGACACATCTATCTGACAGGATGTGACCCACCAGCAAGGTTCGTTGGGAGGAAGCTCTCCGTGTGCACCCAAAGTGTGAGGGATCACTCCTCCATGAACCTCCCCCATCCACCCTTATGTCCAGGGTCACTATATTCCCTCCTCCATAGCCCACAGCAGGGAATTTCCTAGAATCACCTAGGGAATCACCTAGGGAATTTCCTAGAATCACCTAGGGAATCACCCCTGCACTAGAAGACCCCTTCCAGCCACTCATTGAAGCATGTCACCCACTGCATCTCAGGCTGTCTTTGAGGGGTCACAGTCCACCAGCCCTGCTGGGGTGTATGTCTCTCCAGCCATGGCTCATCCCTCCCACAGGAATCCAAGATGCTGCTGTTACACTTCTGGGGTCCCTGTGCTGGCTCATTCTGCTACTCTCCTCCTTCCCCATGCCATCATGCAGTGGGACATGGAGATGAGCAATGCCTTCTCCATTCACGTCCCCTGCCTTATGACAGGCCCTGCTCCTTTTCCCTGCCACAAGCCCTGTTTCCTTCCTCCACATCCCCTCTTCACCACATTCACCATCGTCTGGAATGAGCAGGTATAGCCTATCCCAACAGTTTACAGAGTGCTGCAAGGGGAGGCTTCGCGGCAATGATTCCTATAGACAGGGATGCTGACACCTGGGAAGGAGCACTTCCTCTTCCAACCTCTGCAAGGGGCTCTGAGAGTCCTCAGAGCACTTAAAATGCAAACTCGCTTCTCCCGAAGGGACATTGAAGGGATCTCACAAGGTTCAGACCATCTTCTGAACAGCTGTGAAGAAGTACAGGCATGCTGGTGAACAGACCACTTACCGTCAGGCTTTGCTGTCAAACAACCTCATTTAGAGAAGGCAAGCAATGCCCAGCTGAGGACGGCAGCCTGCATCTGTGTCCCACTGAAACACAGCCACGACTCATCCCACCTTTACCAGGCACCCAGCCACTCCCCAGGCCCATCCAGCTGGAAAAGCGGCAGCAAGTTCCCTTTTGCTCTGCCCTCAGCAGGCACAGTGTCCCTCCAGCACACCTGGGAACAGGATGTCTACAGAACGTGGTAGCCCTGCTCCCTGAAGACCCTTCCCTTGATCCACAGTACATGAATTAATGCCTGATTCACACCCACAGCCTCCAGGGAACGATTGGCAAACTGGCTCACAGCAGGGCATGACCCATCCCCAACCATCCAGCCCAACCCCATCCTTCCCACATCATCCCCACTGCACCCACACCACCCATAGCTCCTGTTCCCCCAGGTCTCCCAGAGGCAGTGGGTTCCCCATCTGACACATCCCTCAGGGGTTCAGCCCAGGGCTGCAGGCAGTAAAGATGCACGTCAAACTTGCAGGGGAAGAGCAGCAAGATCTCACCAGGGAAGAGGAGGAACCGCTCCTTACCTGTTGCCCTTGGCACTCCTTGGACGTTGGGATCAGGTCCTTCCTGGCCCCATGCTGCCAGCAGAGATGCAAGGACCAGGAGAAAGCTCAGAGCCAGCAACTGCAGGGCCATGCTACCACAGAGTCCCCAGGCAGGACTGAAATCTCAGCCCCACTTGCTGCATCTGATCTCAGGCATCTGTAACTGACTGCAAGACTTGCAGCCACAGGAAGGAAACAGACACGTGGGGAAACCTCATGAGTCACACCCTTTTTGGGGAGAGAACCTCCCAATAGTGTCAGTGCTGCTGCCTTTTGCTGCCTTTTTTCTCCAGTGGCATCTAGGCTCTGGTTCTCAACAGAAGACATCCTGTCACCACGATCCCAGAGTTTCCCCCAAAGCACCCCGTAGTTGACAGAGTACATTCAAGAAGCACTGCTCCTTTTTCTGAGGCAATACCCATGTGCTTCCTAATGCCATTGCATGGGTGTTAGAGTTGTGATGAGTCACTGCACTTCCCCTCAATGATCACAGGAGGTGGAGAACCTCTGAGAAAGCACATAAAGAGCTGCCAAGAAGCAGGGATAGGAATGAGGACATGAACTGCAAGGAGTACTTCAAGGCCTGAAACACTCCTTGGCCCATTCGAAAGACACATCCAGCCCACACCTCTCCTGTCCTTCCTTGCTCCTCCTTCCCCAGCTGCCTCTTCCTCCTCCCCCTCAGCCTGGCAACACTCTCCTCTGTCCCCAGGTGTGCGGGTCACCCTGCCCTCCAGTGTCAGCTGAGTGCCTGAGAAAACTCTCAGAACTACTAAATCATCCACTTTGCTCCTCAGGAGCTTCTGCTCCTCCTCTTCCTCTAGAACCTCCCATGTTCCTACCTGTAGTGTCTGTCCTGGGTTTGGTTAGGATGAAGTTAATTGTTCTCAGGGAACTGGGAGGGGGGCAGCCAGGGCAGGTGTTCCATACCAGTGAGGTATTCCATACCACATGACGATATTCCATACCACATAACGGTATTCCATACCACATGATGGTATATGGTATTCCATACCACGTGATGGTATCTTATGTTGGATATTCTTTCATTAGTACTGTTGTTGTTGTTGTTGTTTGATGTTGTTTGATGTCGTTTCTCTCTTACTATTCCAGTAAACTGCTTGTGTCTCAACCCCTGAGCCCCATTCATTTATATTTTCTCCTCCCCATACCACTGGAGGGCGGGGGGTGGGGCAGGCAGCGACCCTTCCTAGTTAAACCACGTCAAATGTCTCAGATCCCAGAAGGCTGGGTGATCAGAGGAGCAAAGACCGTGCTTGTCCCTCAGCTTTGTCCACAGCACATGCGCAAGACACACTCCTGCCCAGGACAAATGCAGGGGAAAGCACTGGTTCCCAGCACACACCCCATCCAAATCCATGTCAGAGCTGCCCAGCGTAGTGTGGAGGTTCAGTGAGGCTGTCAGCCACAGCTCCAGCCCCTCAACAAGGTGCAGTAAGCTCAGCACCTCACAGGGAACATGACCCCGCAAGGGCAATGAGGGGACCAGGCAGGAGTTGTAGGGGGGAAGGAAGCCCCCTCCAAACCATGAGCCTTTACCAGTTGTCCAGACAGAGCAGGGGGAGTCATGAAGCTGAGACCCCAGGCTCTGACTGGATATGGGGATAAGGAGTGGAGAGCAGGGCAAGCCAGGAGATGGCAGGAGCACAGACCAACCCTGTTTCACCATATCCCAACCCTGCCCATTCCCATTTCTCAACCAGCAGAAGCCACATGGGGTTAAGCTCCCTCTTCCCCTCAATGCCTGATAGCCATGGAGAGCAACTCCATCAGGCATGCAGGTCACACCAATGTGAGCCCATGGGAAGGTGTCAGTTGCAGATACCATGATGATGGTCAGACAGTTCATATGAAGGACTGTAAAAACATGTTTTCACTGGCACAAGCAAGTCATACCAGGCCACCCAGTAAATTGGAGAGATATGGGTATGACAGATGGACTGTTAGAGGGATAAGGAACTAGGTGGATGGCCATGTCCAAAGAGTTACAGTCAGTGGCTCAATGTCAAAGTGGAAACCAGTAATGAGTGGTGTCCCTCCAGAGTCTGTACTGGGACCAATGCTATTTAATATCTTAGTCAATAGCATAGACAGTAGGATTGAGTGCATCCCCAGTAAGTTTGCAGATGACACCCAAACTAAGTCATGCAGTTAATTCACTGGGGGGCTGGTACACCATACAGAGGGACCTGGACAGTCTCAAAAAGCTTGCCCACATAAACCTCACAAAGTTTAACAAGGCCAAGTGTAAGGTACTGTGCCTGGGTCTGAGCAATCACCAACAACAATACAGGCTGAGGGATGAACTGATTGAGAACAACTTGGGGGTGCTGATGGATGAAAAGCTGGACATGAGCCGGCAATGTGCGCTCGCAGCCAAGAGGGCTAACCCTATCCTGGGCTGCATCAAGAGAAGCATGGCCAGCAGGTCAAGGGAGGGGATTCTCCCACTCTACTCTGCTCTGGTGAGACCCCACCTGCAGTGCTGCATCCAGCTCTGGAGTCCTCTGTTCACAAAGGATGTGGACCTGTTAAGGTGGCTCCAGCGGAGGACCATGGAAATGATCCAAGGGCTGGAGCACCTCTCCTATGAGGACAGGTTGAGAGAGTTGGGGATGTTTAGCATGTAGAAGAGAGGGCTCCGAGGACACCCTATTGCAGCCTTTCAATACTTAACCAGGGTCTATAAGGTAAGTGAGGAGACACTTTTTACCAAGGCATGTAGTAACCAGACAAGTGGAAATGGTTTTAAACAGAAAGATTTAGATTTGATGTAAGGAAGAAATTTTTTTATGAGGAGGGTGGTGAGACACGGAAACAGATTGCTGAGAGAAGTGGTGGATGCACCATTACAGTGTTCAGATGCAGGCTGGTGGGTTTTTCAGCAACCAAATCTAGTGAAAGGGGTCACTGCCCATATCAGGGAGGCTGGATTAAGTGATCTTGAAAAATTCCTTCCAACCCAAACCATTCTGACATTCTGTCATTATAACTACGGAGCTATAGAAGAGGCTGGTCGATGGCCCCATCTCCCA